CTTACTTCATCTTCAATTTGAATTTATCTCGTGACCTACCCAAATTGAATTGAGAGTTTTCTGCTGGGGTTAGTCCAACAAAATATCCAATATCTACTAGAACATACTATCGGCTCAAAAATTAACCTAGACACCACGTCTAATTTGATTTAGAAAGACATTTTAACCTAAGCATAATGCTTAATTTAAATGCCTTTGGAAGTACGATCATGTAACACCTATGGTATTACGAGCTTGCTTAGCACCTAGGTTAATGCCTAAGAGAAATTAGCAAAATAAGTTTTTGGGTTTAAAAATTTAAAGCACGCATGGAATTATAAACAAATCTTGTGTGACTCGCTTTCGTGAATAAAACAAACAAATAAGTGTCGCTAGTCAACTTGTCTCGGTGCTGAACAACTTTTAAATAACTAAGTAGCGTGCTCGTGCGTTGCTACGGGATAGCTAACAATTTATACTAAAAACATACGGATCGCACGATAAGATAAATATCAACGTTAAAGTTACAGTTAATCCAAAAAGCAAAGTTTGTGAAATTAACAGTCACGGAGAGCGTGGCGTCACAGGCTCACAAACTTTACCGTATTTATATCGACAGAAAGAAATCTCCGATATCTATTTCTTTCGTGTGCTCATAAATCCACGATAAGTTCCGCCGCATCTCCATACCATCCTGTAAACAAGTTCGAGTATATGTAAAAAAATATTAGTGTCTTTCACATGGGTAATACTACGTGTCTTAAAAAATCTCTCACAAAACATGAAAAATCTTTCACAAAATGTTAAAACAAACTATGTTATATCACCGTATAGTGCCCACGCCGTCGAACTCGCTGTACACAGGCGGGGCCAACGATGGGAACAAAATAATATTTGACCAACGGCCCAACGACGGCCAAAGTCAAGGTCTGTGGGATACAACCCGACACTTTACTACTGCAGCTCTAATTGCAATAAAATTTGAATGTTTCACTTCAAAGAAAATAGCTGAGTGTTCCACTTCAAACAAACACATATTATGACAACACAACTCTAGAAAACCATTTTAAAAGATCCTTCGTAGCATGCAACAATAGAATAGCATAGCAAAAACTTACAACGATGAAAATCTTTCACTGTATTCTTTGAATTAGGAAAATAGGAACTTAAAAAAACATGAATGTTATAAAACGTAGGTTTCCATGAGTATCAATCAAAATAAAAATAAAACATGAATTGTTAAATAGGCTGAGAAGCAATGTTTTGCTTACATTCATATTCATTTTCCTCGCAAAAAAATTCATATTCATTTGCTTACAAAATCCAAATTTCCAGTGCTACTATTTGTTCATGCCTTTCAATGTTTGTTCACCCCAACAACATTTGCAGATACATGAAGTCTAGAAATCTAAGTGTTTTGTAGCATCACATAGCAGTCAATGAAGTTCAGGAGTGGGGCTCTGAAAAAAAATGTTATCTAAACTCCCTCTTAATGAAAAACGTGCAATGGTACGGTCACGAAAAATATTATATTCATAAATCAGTTTTGAAGCAAACCTGGTAAACAAATTTGAAGCAACATGTGAAGAATGGTTTCATGTAATTATATCAATTTTGCCTATGTATGTGAGCGAATGGGCAAACTCTGAGTTCTTAAATATTTTTTAGTGCACCCGGTCATCTTTGTTAAGGTCCGCTCTTGAGACAAGCAGGTACTCTAGTGCATAGGAAATTGAGGGAAGAAATCAACGACCTTACGTTTAATCTCCATGAATTTAAAAGATGATGCCAACCCATAATTCAGTGATATATATACTGAAGAAAGCTATCTATAGATCTCAACCATATCATCTGCACTTCTGAAGTTCTAACCTGATTTATTTCTTTACTTGAACTCCAGATCATATTTCCTTTCTGCAAAGAGTTGGAGAACATAGCCATTAGTAGGATGGACTGTTAATATAACAAAACTTATAATAGGATGGACTGTTAATATAACAATCATCACAATATTAAAAAGTTGATAATCGACCTTTACAGGAAGGGGAAGGGAACAACAACACCAGGCAACAGACTTGAAAAACAAATCTGTAGAAAACAAATTTCATAATTGACTTTTGGTTCTTGCGCACAACTGCATACTGTAGATTGCTCTATCTGTAGAACAAATTTCAGAATTCACAGTATGGTGTTCGAGAAAAAAAATCCACAGTATGCATTAACTACAAATTAATTTGTCTCCTATCGTAGTTCCATAAGGAAGGCGAAAGAGGAGAGGAAATTAATTAGGCGATTGGATGCTAGCTGATGTGTCCTTACATGGCTCATCGAGGCAGGGGTGAATGCAAGATGCGAAGGGCATGATGGCCTAAATCTCCATCATGATCTCCTTGTCGCCCTTCTCCTTGATAGCCCCGAGACGAACATCAGAAGAAGATGCAATCAAGCCATGACACATGTGTAATCTGGCCACTTACCGATTGATTAGGGTCCTAGGAAGAGAGTGAAGAAGTGGGGAATAAGAGTAAGGGCGGCCCACCCCTTCTCGATGACCTCAGCGTCTATGATGATGTTGAAGTCCAGTAGCTCTAGCACACCTCGCTGGTGGGTTGTGGCCTTGCTCATGATCACCAACTTAACCCATCGCATCTTCCGGCCTCCAACCATTCTCGCAACATTTAGTTTCAAACAAAAGATCTACAAGCCGTAGTATACAAATTTTATGGAAAAAAAACTACACAATGGCAAGAAATTCCATGTACTCGAAGCTACTGTGAAGACAATACGCTTGGGATCTTAGATATGATCATATGAATCCCATTTTCAATAAGATTGATTTCACGACTTCCCACCAGCAGACCTCAATTGTACTATTAAATCAATAGTGGTGGTCTCCCTGATAATATCTCCTTAGTTTGAGCAGTGATTCACCACGACAGTGACCAATTGAGAACCGAGATGTAATCGCATGATGTAACGTAATGTGATTCAGGAAGAAAGGATAGGGCATGCAAGAAAAGAACGGGAGATTAGGATGAACCTTGGTGCTTGTGCATGGTCTACACACCGCCGACCACCTCAAGATGCGCGCTTACCACCGCCGCCGCCGCCCACGCGATGCCGTCGCCGCCCCGGCCCTTGCGATGTCGCCATGCTGAGAAGCTAGCGCATTTTGCCTATGACGCTCCTAACTCGATGACGATGGCGACGGAGCCCCGCAGCGTGATGATGTCCTTGGACGCCGTCGCGACATCACTTTGGTCTCCACTTCTCCTCGCTCAGACGGATGGGATCGCAACCACATAATCGTAGGCGATTTTTGTTTCCTTCTTCATTCGCCGGGATAGTCGCCGTCGTGGGGTCCACTTCATGCTCCCTCGCGCAAGCTAGGGAAACCGGGCAGGCGAGCGAGCGAGGGAGAAAAGAGAATTGTCGGTGATTGTGTGGGGCGCCGGTGTTTCCTTTATTCTCACGGTGATTACCTCCAACTTCCATCTATTCTAACACGCGATTTTTGTTTCCTTCTTCATTCGCCTTGATTTGGTGTTTGCCTTCCATGCACGGGTGGGATTTCATTTTAGCTCTTTCCTTTTAAATATCGCAAGGGACGGCCACGCGCGTCGGAGCGAGGATGCGGAACATAACAGTGTGACGGTGGACCCACGTTGAAATGTCGCACCAAAAAGTGTCCACGCTTTGTTCTTTTTAGTTGTAGGAGATCTTGTGGACAAAAGTTGTTTAGGGCTTGTTTTGAAAAAAAGTACGAAGAAAGTGCTTAAAATACCGATAGCAAATAAATAGCTTAATGACTTGTTTATTTGATTTAGCATGAAAAGCAATTTTTATAGAGCAAAAATAATATAGAACATGTGTTGAGGTTTAAATAAAAATTGAAGTACAAGTTTTGTAGTGGAAAATGCAACTTTGGTTTTGGAGAACGAATATTGTTAACTAGGGTTTTTGCAGGCTCAAAAATCAAATTTAAAATTTAAAAACCAACTTCTCGCGTCAACGGTAAAAATCTGAAATTATACTTAAAAGCGCTGTTTGTGGCGATTTGTTTTGTGCAAAATAATTACATAATACCCTAATATTTTGTTCCATGGCTTGGTATGGAGTAAGAGCTATCGCGTGAAATATTTATTGGTGGAAGTCAATAGGATTTAGATCTTTTGAAGTTGCCGACAATGTGTCGCTGTTCACATCCGTCGTGTCGTCTCACGCGACAGCACGCAGCCAGCAGAGCCACGCTGACGCCCATGTGTTCGGCTGCAGCGTGCTCCCTCGCATCCGTGCTCTGGCGCGCGTTATAGAGGAGGAGCCGTGCCGCTGCTGCCTCGCGCACAGGCCGCGCGAAGGGGCACCATGTGCTGTGCCGTAGCGCATGGAACATGCACCGTCCTTGTTGCTGCCGCGCTGCCCCTGCGTTCACCCTCAAGTGGAGGCCGAGCCCAACAACAACGGCTAGACATCACGGTGAAGACAAAGCAAATGTCTTTTCATGTACAAGTAGCATGTCTGCCTCAAAATTTTGTATGATCTACGTGATATTCGGTCCTACAGGTACCCTTAGGCCAAATGTGATGAGTCTCATCACGTTTTTGTTGTGGCAAGACATTGTCGTGATGTTCATTTGTGGTGTATGAAATGGCCCCGTCACTGTCATAAAATAGTTATTGCTGTAGCTCGACTAGGGCCCCCATTTTGTGTGTATGTATATTTCCTCCGTCCCAAAATAAGTATCATTCTCTCTGGTCGAAGAGTCAAACAATTTTAACTTTATCAAATATATACAAAAAAAACATTAATATTTATAGTACATAATTAGTATAGATAGATCGTAGAATCTATTTTTATAAACTTATTTGAAGATGTAAATGTTATTAATATTTTTTTATAAATATAGTTAAACTTAAGAAAAGTTTGAGCGACACTTCTTTTGCGACAAAGCAGAGTACAACTTAAACCACCGCACTCCAATGCATATATAGTAGAAACAAAAACACGTCCACCACATTCTTATGGAGCTACCAGTACCATGGAGTTCTCTCATCGGCGTGGCGCTGTTCCTTGTAGCCGTGCTCCTTCGCCGGCGGCGGTCCAGCTCCAGCAAGTACATGCTGCCGCCGGGCCCTCGGCCATGGCCGGTGATCGGCAACCTGAACCTGATCGGGCCACTCCCGCACCGCTCAATGCACGAGCTCTCCACGCGGTACGGGCCACTCATGTCGCTGCGGTTCGGCTCCTACCCCGTCGTCGTCGGCTCATCCGTCGACATGGCGAAATTCTTCCTCAAGACCCACGACCTGGCGTTCCTCGACCGCCCCGCCGTGGCCTCGGCTAGGCACATCCTCTACAACGGTTCCGACGTGCTGTGGGCGCCGTACGGTCCGTACTGGCGCCAGGGGCGCAAGCTGTACCAGAACGAGCTCCTCAGCGCGAGCCGGATCAAATCGACAGAGCATATCCGCATCGAGGAGGTGCGCTGCATGCTGCAGGATGTGTCGGCGGCCGCGTCCCGCGACGGAGGCGCGGTGGTGCGGCTCAGGACCACCCTCTCCATGGCGAGGTTCAACGTGGTCTCGCGCATGGCGCTAGGCAGGAAGTACATCTTCGACGGCGCCGGCTCGCTGATGCCGCCGGAGGCGTTCCGGTGGATGATCCAGGAGTTCTTCTTCCTCAACGGCGTGGTGAACGTCGGGGACGTGATCCCGTGGCTCAGCTTTCTGGACCTGCAGGGGTACATCAAGAGGATGAAGAGACTGAGCAAAATGATCGACCCGTTGCTCGAGCACGTCCTGGTCGAGCACAGTGAGCGGCGACGGCGACAGGGCGAGGGCTTTGTGCCGAGGGACATGGTGGACCGGCTGCTACAGCTGGCTGACGATGCCAACCTGGAGGCTCCCATCGAGCGGGATGGCATCAAGGCATTCATTCTGGTAAAGACTTCACTTTCTTTCACTCCATCTGCTGGTATATATATGTCACAGAGAGATGATCGATCGACGCGCGTGAATGCCGGCAGGACATCATCGCCGCTGGCGCGGATACCTCAGCGGTCGCCACCGAGTGGGCTCTCTCGGAGCTTCTAAGGAATCCCGAGGCCATGGCCAAGGCCACGGGCGAGCTGGACCGTGTCGTCGGCGGTGGCAGGCTGGTCACGGAGGAGGACATCCCGCGCCTCCCGTACCTGGATGCTGTGGTGAAGGAGACCTTGCGCGTGCACCCGGTCGCGCCGCTGCTCGCGCCCCGGCTGTCCCGCGAGGACACCTCCGTGGGCGCCTACGATATCCCGGCCGGCACCCGCGTGTTCGTTAACGTCTGGGCCATTGCCCGCGACCCTGCTCTGTGGGGGGACGCCTCGGAGGAGTTCCGGCCGGAGCGCTTCGTCGGGAGCGGAGTGGACGTGAAGGGCCACGACTTGGAGTTCCTGCCGTTTGGGTCCGGCCGCCGGATGTGCCCGGGCCTCGGCCTCGGGATGAAGATGGTGCAGCTGATGCTAGCAAACCTTCTTCAAGCCTTTGCATGGAGGCTCCCCGACGGCGTGGGTGTGGACGACCTGAGCATGGAGGAGAAATTCGGGCTGTCCATGCCGCGAATGGTCCCGCTTGAGGCCGTACCTGAGCCCAAGCTCCCTGCTCACTTGTACGATGGGCCATGTCCATGACTCAGCCACGCACATATGCACGCGTGTCTGCCCGCTGCAATCTGCATCTGCTCTGGAAGTATGATGTCGACTACTCGACTGTATGTTTTTGTGCTCCTAAAAATCTGTAAGTCTCGTTGGTTGTGATAGCCTGCATAAGGGTCTAGCATTAATGGATATCCAATTTAGCATAGCCTTATACTTTTCGAGTAGTATTTGGTTGTCTTGCATTTTGATTTTGCACCGTGGCCATTTATAAATGGGAAGGCCTAGCGCCCAGACGTTCGGCCCAGGCTCGCGTTCGGACGCCTGCAACCGCCTCGCATCGGACGCACCCCTGCGCTTGCATCAGATCCCCTGCCAGCGACGAAATCGCATCCGGCCACCCAGGACCGATCCCACGCCAGTGACCGCAGTCGACCATCCGTGACTTGATCCCTATCCCGGTTGCACCCCCGCCGTTTGTAACACAATCCCCATCGTCAAGCCCGCCGCGCTCCTTCCCCCGCCACACCGCGCTCCTCCCCACGATGTGGCGCCATCGCCGCCGTGCCCCTGTCCTCCACCGCGCTCTGTCTCGGCCGTTCCCCTTCCCTAGTCCTAATGTATCATCTCCTTTGCAACATCCGTCCGACCATTGCAACATATGCAGTGTACTATTAAAACATACTTGTATAATCATTACAACATCTAGACGAAACACATGAGACATGCATTTGAAACATTTGGAACATACATTTGCAACATACATCTAAAACAGATGAAACGTGTGGGACATACACTTGAAATATACGTGTGTAGCCATTGCAACATATGCAACATTAGATCCTTTAGCAACATCAAATGAAACACATGAAACATACAGATGAAACACATTAAACATACAGATGAAACGCGTGAAACATACGTCTCAAACAACTGAAATGTTTGAAACATATACTTGCAACATACGTATGTAGCCATTGCAACATACGCAACATACAGATGAAACACTTGAAAATAACTTCTGAAACACAGTTGAAACAAACACATGGCGCGCGCGCAGCCCATGGCCAACCTAGTGGGGAACTGCGGTAGCGATAAATGGCGCTGGGCAAAGTGGAGAGAGGAGGATGGCGGCAGCAAGCAAGCGGGTGGGTGTGGTGAACAACGCCACCTTGGACTGGAGCAAGAAAGCGATCCATTGTGGACCACGCCCGTGTCGGCTTGTAGAACTTCGGCAATGAGTGGTGAGTGGCGATGGGGAGAGAAAGAAAGCAAAGCGGCGGTATGTCGGATTTAAATATGGTCGGCGATCTACCTAGGGGTATACCCAAGGTAGTAGATTATCGGCGGAACATATGCGCAAGCCACAAACAAGACGGTGACGCAAGATGCAGACACAAGGTTTTATCTCGGTTCGCCGCCAAGAAGGCGTAATACCTACGCCCCTGCGTCGATTTGTATTGTTGTATGTCAATGAGATGTTTTTAGAGGGTCCCCGCCCGCCTTTATATAGTCGGGGGGGCGGGTTACAGATCTGAAACTAATCCTAGCCAGCCATAATTGCCATATGTGGCGGATAAGGATTCATATTCTAACCGACCAGGATCTTGATTGATCGCCAAATCCGCCTTGACTCCTTGCGCGGGACTCCGATCAGGTTAACCGGGCCGCACGTCGTCTTTTGGTGGACCGAACCCACCGATCCGGGCCGGCCCAAGCTTAGCCATAAGGGTATAGGGGTTAATACCCCCACAGCTAGTCCCCGAGCACCATGTATTATGCTGCGACACGCCATTTTAACCTTCTCCGACAAGTAAGGCTTGAGTCCTTGACATCTCTGACCACCGTTGTCGCTGGAGAAGTCGGTTGTCCGAAGAATATATGGTGCTCTTAAGAAAAAAGAAAAAGATTTTTGTCCTGGGAAGTGTGCCCACTTGTATTTCTAAAAAGAAATGTAAGTGCGTCTCGGAGCGTAGCGTCCTTGATCATCAGAGGCATAGGGGTCGAAAAACAAACACGTTCACCGCAAGGTGAAGTGTGCCCACTTAGTCCCCGAGCCTAGTAGTAGGTGACGTAGGCACGTGGTGCCAGGGTCTAAAAAGAATTCCCATTTTAGTTGAGAAACGAATCATCGTACAAGCGATACAAGATGCACCGGCAGGTGCATCGTACCGATGTAGTCCCCGAGCTTGCTGGAAGGCGAGGTATGAGCCTTGTAACAAGGTCTAAATAAATGTCTCTCAACTGTATGTGAGTACAAATCACATGTAGCCGAGAAGAACGATCTCCGAGCAGTGGTCGGGACAGTCCCCGAGCACATCAGTAGCCGGAGCAGTCCCCAAGCATGGCAGTGGTCTGAGCAGTGCCCGAGCACGGCAGTGGTCTGGGCAGTCCCCGAGCACGGCAGTGGTCTGGTCCATCATTGAGCTCAAGATATGCAGCCAAAAGAAAAGAACACCGCTTGTATTATTATTTGGTGTATTTATTTCTCTCCTTACTCTGTCAAGTCCAAACTGCCATGTCTGGTCAAAAAAGCAGATGGATATAACATATCACTCTGCCTTCTTACTCTTTCTGACAAACAGTCGCTTGGCGCCTGTATGGAGGTGCGTCAGTGTGGGCCCTCTCACATTATCAATGAAGAGGCGCGTACACTGGAAACGAAGAGGCGTGTTTGTTGGCGTAGATCTCGAGGTTGTGAAAACAACCGTCTACGGCGCGTGCGCACGTCTCCCAAGAATCTCGAGCGGACGAAACAACGAAGCCCTTGGTTATTTATAATATAGAGCTGGTAAGTTACTTTTTACCGATCCCCATTGTCATTCACCGCCGCAACCTTCTTCTTCCTCTCGTCGAACCCTACTCCTCCGAGAATCACCACCAATCCCTCCTCCACCGCATCCACCCTCTTAACAAGGGCAGATCAATGGCGAAGAGAAACGCCCAGAAGAAAGGCGGAGTCATGGTGAAGGAGTGGTGGAAGTCAAGGAGCAATGAGCAGACCATCGAATACCTCGTCGCCATGGGAGTGCTCCACAACAAGGCACTCGCGGGATGGCGTGCGCCGGAAGGAGAAAGCTTCCCCGATCCACAACCAGGTGAGATTGTGGTTTTCGAGGATTTCTTCAAGCGGGGTTTTGGGGTTCCAGTGCACCCTTTCCTTCAGGGGCTCTGCTTATATTATGAGATTGGGATTTGCAATCTGCATCCCAACTCGATTCTTTTTGTCTCCACCTTCATCCATCTTTGCGAAGCTTATGGTGGCTTCCAGCCCCATTTCGACCTCTTTCGCCATATGTTCTGTCTGCGGAAGAAAGGGAGCGAAGGCTCGAAGATAGCCGGAGGCGTATACCTCAATCTGCGTGATGGTATAAAGGCCCAGTACCTGCACTACCCATGGAACACCTCACTGGACGAATGGTACAAGAAATGGTTCTACATCCACGAAGAGCTGAACACGATCACCCTGTGTGACGTGGGGTTGATTCCAGAGAAGAAGAACAGCTGGTCGGAGAAGCCCGAGCACTTGGAACAGATCACAGAACTGCTCGGGTTGATCCCATGGAGAAAGTTGGATGGTCCAAGCGTGGTCGGGAACTTCATCAGCCAAAGGATCCAGCCCTGCCAAAAGAGGGTACATCCTGGCTTCGAGTACCAGGGTAGCATAGATCCGACGAGGACCAGAAAAGAGGCGCTTGACAAGATAGAAATCAAGGCCAGAATTGGGGAGCTATTCAATCTAGCCGACCCCAATTATGTCAGGTTAAACGACATCGAGCACGCCATCAAGCTGGCCCAACCTCCCCCAAAGGTAAATGATGCCTCCTTGTACCTGTAGATTTATGTTGCAACGAAAAATTGATTGTTGTCTCCTTTATGTTTCCCAGGGTAATGGTCATGACCGAGCAGCAGTGTTCGTGTCTCCGCCCCCTAGCATGGATTGGCCGCAAATTGCCAGCTCAACCGCCCAGACCAGTGCCAGTACCGAAGACATCGACTGGGCGGTACTCGAAGTTGGGGAGGATGTAACGGCCAAGGCTGCTAGCAAGCGGCCAGATGCCAACAAACGTCGCCAGGCCATCTTCCCCCTTTCAGACGATGAAACAGAGGATGCGGACATCTTCCGACTCATCCCTCGAAAGAGGAGACAAATGGGGTCAACAGAGCAGGGTAGCTCCTCTGTGCCAGCAGTGATCGCACCACCGACCATTGCAACACAGAAGAGAAGCGGGGGAAGTGTCGAGCACCAAACCCCGACGCCAGTACCGGTGGTGGAAAAAGACCCGGTGGAACCCGCCGAGCACGTGGAGCAGGCGCGGTTGAAGAGACGTTCCTTCGCCACGTTATTCCATGCTTTCGAGCTGTAAGTATCTGTAACTTTGATATAATCTTATAATTTGTATTGAATACTATTGTCTTCTGAACTTTCTCTGGTATATTAGGTCGGCGTCCACCGAAAATCCCGACCAGATAGCCGGTTGTGGCACGGCTTCGCCAGTACTGGCGAAAAGAACTGCTCGGCAGCTAACTGCGGAGGAACCTGTAGAAGAAATTCCGTCGGAACCGCAGCACACGAGCAGCCCGATGTCAGTTCCCAAGCAGCTGGTCGAGAAGACAGCCGAGCGAAGTACAAATGCTCCGAGCACTAGCCCTACTGAGGCGGATACCTTGGCGCCAAGGGAACCAGACCGAGCCGAGGAGCAGCAACTGGAGTTGGCATAGAATACGCTTGCCGATGCTACGGCTCGTGGGAAAGCCATAGTGGTCGCGGAGACTACTATCTCCGGCCCAGCGCCGCCCCCTGAACAAGAGGCCGAAGAGGACGAAATTGAAGAGATCCTAGGCCGTCCCAAAGACGAACGACAACATGTATATGTGTCGCGCAGGCGGAACGACGAGTGGGTTATGTATGAAGAAATCCCCGAGATCGAAGAGACCCAAAAAGTTGAACGAGCGGCAAAACATTTGGTGACAGAAGTCCAGGTATGTTTGGCTTGACCACTTGACCCTGTAATGTAGTCAGACTGTCTGACGTA